TGCTGTTACATTACATTATTTTGGAAACATTGCTGCAATATTATTATTGTTTTATTGCAATTGCAGTGTTTTTATAATATTGTTGTTACATTACATTGCAATTTGCAATGATGTAACATTATAGCAACATAACCGGAATGTTCTGTGCTGTATGGGTTTAGAGAAAACATATTAGTTTTAATATAAGAATTCATGAATAATTCCACATCCATGAATACTTAATGTTGTTATGTTACCTCCGCTTGTGAAAAGACCTGTTTGAAGCCATGGATGAAATACGCTGTATATAAGACTTTTTTCAATATGTTTCGTGCTGCCCAATATAGCCTAAACAAAGAAAAAATGATCTTCAAATATTATTTTTAGTATAAAACTTTTTTGTCTTTGAGTACTTCTTAGGTGCGATTATTTGGTACTATAAACACAGGGTGTCTCAGATATTTTGCTGACCATTCTGAAATGTAAAGATAGAGTCAATCTAACCAGAAAAGTAATTTGCCATTTTGAAAAATGTGCAATATTTATTGAGTAATTAATTAATTAATGAAAGTCAATAAGCGCGTGGAAAGTAAAGATTCAAATTTTATAGGCATGTGTGACTTTTAGTTTAAAATGGCTTACTTCATGTCTACTAACAGCAAGAAGCAAAACAAAAACATTTTACAAACCAACTAAAAAAATAGGACAGGTTCTTAACAATCTAAAAGATAAAAGACTGTCTTTAGTCACACGGAAGTGCACAAGTTACCTTGTTCATGTGGTATAATATACATAGGAGAAACTGGTAGAGTGATAAGCACACGACTAAAAGAACATCAGTCAGCAGTACATCTAAAACACTACTCACAATCGGCATTAACACCAATTGGAAACTGGTCACAAAATTATGTTTGACCAAAGCCACACACACACACACACACAAGTACTAAAAAAACTGCAGCTTACTTCCCTAGAAATTATATGGAATTCTTGGAAATATGATGAGACAATGAGGCAATCCATCCTGCCGTAACATTTTCTTTTTTTCTGCTACATTACTTTATCCTTACTATTACACTCTTTCTACTACACCTCTTTCCCTATAATCTAGCGCTATAAAAAAGGAACATCAAGTCTCTTTGACCAAGAGCATTTAGGTTGCTCTTGAAACCCTGATGAAGTAAGCTGAAATGTTCCCGAAACATTGGTATAAAAATGGCGCTAATGCGGTACAAACCTGAAAAACATTTTCGAATATTAATACAACACATTGCGAAAGCATCAAATATCAAGTGATTTTTATGTTAGGAGTGACTCAATCTATCTTTGCACTTCGTCTTGGTCACAATTTTTCAGACATCCTGTATATATTATATATATGTAGTATGTATAATATAATATTTAAATAGTGTGTATATATTAATATATATATATATACACATTATATAAATTTGCGTAGTGTATATAATGCTACAAAAAATTCTTTTTCTCTGTATTGTAAACTACAATCATTATTTCTTTAAAAAATCTGTTTTACAGAAGAAGTGATACCAAAAAGTAACACTAAATAAACTTTTGTTTGTTTGATAATTATAATATACTACAAAATATCTACAAAATCTCTTCTACAAAAGAAGTGATATATAACTACTACAAATTTATTTACAAAATCTATTTTACAAAAGACGTGATATATATTATAATAATAATAAAGTAGTAATGCCAATTGAAAAACTTTATATATAATTATAAGATATTTGTGTAAAAAATCAGAAATTTATGTAGACTTTATAGATTACGTTTATATCCGTTATATATACTCAGATATAAAACGTGAATTCGAAGGTGTTATAGATAACAAAACGATTTGTTAGTAAAACTAACAAGTAACCTATTAAAACTGTATTTTTTGTAATTATTTACAAAAACATTTATTAGAACACAAAAGTGTAATAAAAGAAAAATGGTTTTTTAATAAAAAATATTTAATGCATAACAACTTGGCACGGCTGTAAAAGAAGGCCGACTTCCGAGCTATTTTAAATAATTCACATATATATTATAATACGTTGGTTAAATATTAGAAGTATAATTTTTATATATTAGAATTATAATTTTATTATAAAATTATGATAAAATTAAAATTGTTATTGATAATTTTTGAGTACTTATCATGTCACTTTATGCACGTGTCTGATAAATATATTTTAGTTCACTATTTGAGGTGCAGCCGCACCAAAATTATAAAAACCAAATTTTATAGAAAAATAATTTTTTGTAGTATTAAATAAATTTTTAATTTATTACTTTTCAATTTTTTACTTTATAAAGTTAAAGTATATAGTTCGTAGTTATTTTGTGCTAAGTTTAAAAACAGGTGATTAAAAATAGGTATATCGGAGGTGTTGCCGGTGCGAATAACGTGAACTACTACCCGTGTCTCGTGATTCTCTCTTTCTCTCTTTAACTCACACTTTCTGTCTTTCTATTTTTTTCTTCTGTCAACGCGCTTGTATATGTATGCCATCTTGTAGCAGGCATACGAACATGCACATCACACGACGATGATGAAAAAACTGAATTCTGTGAATTTCTCAATCAAAAACTTTATCGTCGCATATCTTCGAAAATCAGAAACAAACAGAACAAATATAAGAATACTTTTTTTTTTAAATGTCTTATTCTGAATCGATTAAGACCAAAACGAAATTGATCGGTTCAGTCGTTACTTAAATATTGCCTTGAGAAAATCTCCCCATTTCTAAATTGCATGAATCTTGCGTATAAGAGGCACAGTATGCTCGTGCAGAGCGACACTTTGTTGCGCGTGAACTTGGCGCGAAGCACTACCGTGCCTCTTGATACAGAATGTTTCAGCGAATTTGTATGCTCAAAAATCGTTATATCTTTTGAATAACTGATCAGATTGTCACCAACCTTTGCAGAAAAAATTATTCTTGAGATGACATTTTTTTCGGTAATTAAGCAGATTAGGGGAGCTATCTCCGATGTGAATAATTTTTACATATGTTGTCAAAGTCATTGTCCTGAGTGATAATGTAAAGCAGTGCTCGGCAACTGGCGGCCCAGTAGCCACGCTTGGCTATTGCGTTTATTCCACTTTCTTCATTCGTAGCGGAGAGGCTTTCTTCGCTCTCGCTTAAGGACGTTCTCCGAATTATTGATTTTTCTAAAATTTTCTTTAAATTTGCGATATACATAGTTTATGATCTTATTTATACGTAGCGTTTTTGGATAATAGAGGTAGCAATGTTAAATTTCAAAATATGGAAGATTTAAGTTTCAATTTTTAACATGGATTTCCTATACTGAGTCTTTGTAAAGTGGGGTTTTTTAAAGTTACTGACGACAATTTTTGTAGAATTTTTTTAAAAAACAAGTATGTGGTAGCGGAGAGTGTCTTAATTAAAATACGATTTTGAATAATATAGCAAGCAACCCTTGTTTTCAAACTGTAGCTTTTTTTTTGTTTTGTTTTTTGGTATTGTTTTTTGTTTTGTTAGATTTATGTGTGCTGTATACTGCAGCTATTTTTGAACTTCTGCGCAGAGTAAGCGAGTCTTAGCAGTGCTGAATAGCTCAACTTAACTTTGTTACAGCAGTACAAACTTACTCATGAGAAGCAGGGACTTATACCGGTATGCAAAATACCGGTATTTTACCGATATTTTTGGGTAATACTATGAAAACCCTTATGCAAACCGAAATGCAGAAATACCGGTATGACATCATACCGGTATACGATAATACCGGTATATTTACCCATATTTACCTATATTTACCGATAATTTTTTCGTGATTTTTTAAAAGTAATATCTTAAAACTATAAGTGTTGTCATTATGTTGATAACACTTTTTAATAATATAATGTTTATAAAAAACTGCCGCACAGAAACTTAATGTTATTTAAATTATTATTCTTTTTTTATATAATTAAGAACAGTAACAATAATTAATATAATTAAGAACAGTAACAAAATACACATAGACATATTTATCAATATCCAAATTTGTTAAAAATTTCACTTTACATTAGTCATGCTACGTAATAAAAGAAAGCATGAATAAACAGCTGCTTCAATTGGTTTATAAAAAAAGCGTCTTTATATTTTGTCGGTCTATAAGTCCAATAAGCGGTAGAAAGATTAATTATGCAACAAAAATTGCTTTAATTAACTTATCTAATTTTTAAGAATACCATTAGTAGGAATACCGAAATAATACCGGTATTTTATTACGGTTTTCGGTACATATCGGTTTCAGTACTATAACGGTAACGGTATACAATCTCTAGTATAATACCGGTATTGAAATCATACCGGTAATAAGTCCCTGATGAGAAGAGATATTTTAGGTTGCTAACCACAGAATTTAGGTTGCTAACCACTGTAGTCAGAGAACGTCCTTAAAGCGCTGGCGGGGCGCCGTACACCGTAGGAGGCTAGTGGTGGTAATGTCGATCCGTGCAGCTACGTTTCGATCGTCTTTGTCAATACTGCTCGAGACATAACGTGATACAGTTCTGTCTACGCATTGCTATACGGCAGCTATCACATAGCTTTGAACTTTTCAGTATGCAGCGGCGAAAAATCGATAAAGAAAATAGACAATTCCAAGATAATTGGAAGTATAAATATTTATTTATACCTAATAATTCAAATAAAAAAAAAATTATTAAAAAAAATTTATATCCAAATATAAGAAAATTTGCGTTACAGATTCGTTCCATGTTTGCTAGTACTTACTTATACGAAAAACCATTTTCCGCGATAAAAAATATTAAAAACAGCAATCGATCTTCAATAACTGACGAGACATTGTCAAACTTATTACGCTTAACTACAACGAAATTTTCTGTTGATATTTCATAACTTGTTGATGCAAGTGTTTGACCGCAAACTTCTCATTAAGAAATTTATAATATTAATATTTTTCTACAACAGAAACAAAGTTAACGATAGTACGCGATGTCACGCACATACTTATAAATTTGCAATTTATTAAAAGATATAAAATTACTGTCTGGATATAATATTACAAATATAACTGCATATAACATATTTACGTCATTTACGTATTACACGCGTAAAATGCTATTTGTGACAATTTCTCATTCACATAACCCATTTATATTATTTTATTTATTTATTGAAAGGCTCACGTTTGATGACGGCACGCTGATACTGGCGTTATTGATACATAAACACTACACACAAATGAGACGGAGCGGAGCGTACGTGTGTATGTACAGTACGGAGCACCATATCGTGCGCCGTGAGGAGAAGTAGTTCTCCTCCGGCCGCCTCCTACTATCACGCGCCAGCGGCCTGAGATGTAGTCCATATATCGGCACGGTTACCGATAATACCGACAGGCATATGTTATCATAAAACTATCGTGAACATTGAAAAGAGTAACTCTGCATTAAAAGTAACTTCAATAATTTATATCAAATATTTATTTATTTANTTATTACGTGATATAAGAAACTTACTTACGGTAAGTGTAAGAAAGTAAAATATATTTAAGTAAGA